TGGTGGGTTTGGACCGCCAGCCTTCTAGTTAGCAGTCAAATGCCTTAGGCACTGCGCCACCAGAGATCCTTACATAAGTATACAGGTTGACGTATTTTTAAAGGGTAAATATTCTCCATGAATATACTACTAAGTTTGAAAAAAAAAAAGTTGCCAGCAACCCATAAGCCTTCTTTGATCCCCCTCCATCAGCCCCACTGATTTATATATGTCACTTCTATTTAGAGTAGGTGGTTACTAGACCAGTGCAAAAAAGACATGGAGGCAGCATCTTCTGACCTCGTCCAACCTCACAATGGGGAGACAGAATCACTGTTAGCAACCTAAGGCTTATTCCTACGAAGCCAGACATGCCACCATCCTCCAGCCATTTTACCAACTCTGACACCAACCATCCCTCGCACAGCACTCACTGCTTCTCTGCTGGGCTTGATAATTTGTTGCAAAGGCCACATAGAACTCACAGACAATACTCACAATTATGGGGTTTATTAAGGAACTAACAGGCTACAATTCAGGTTCAGGAATGCGCTCAGGACACAGTTCTTCAATCAGGACAGTCTCTTCTTTCCTCTACCCTAAGGCATGCCTCTCTGGCTCTTGGCCTCTCGAGGCCTGGCCTCTCCCCTGCTTGGGCAAGTGTTGAAAAGCTCTTTTAGCTCTGCTGATAGTTACAACTAAGTGCACCCCACTCTGCCAGCAAGCCTCCTGCCCAAAGGCATTCAGCTTTCTCACTCTGTTGGCCGGCAAGCCCATCACTCTATCTCTTGCCTCTTGGTCATCTCTGCCAGCCATCTCTGTCGGCCATCTCTGCCAAGGAGATCCAGCTCAGGGATCTCTGGTTCAAGGACACGTTCCACTCCACCTCCTCCACTCCACCTCTGGCTCTTCTCTGTTGATGGCAGTGAGATCCCCCTTTCTGTCTCTAGGAAGACACATTTTAAGCCTAGCAGAATGACAAAACTAACCAATCCCCACGTTAGAATTCCATACACCTTATTTGCATGGTCCCACCCAGTAATCTGATGGGAGTCACGAAGACCATGGCTAGAAAAGCCATCCAAGTAATCCACTGCACCACAACCAGTTTCAAAGCTGAGATTTGAACTTTTTAAGCTCAGACTTATAAAATATAATTGTATTTTTATTTTTTTACAGACAATTTCAGAGATGTCTTCCAGAAGTCCCAAAGATTTAATTAAAAGTAAATGGGGACCAAAGCCTAGTAACACCAAATCAGAAAGTGCATTAGGGAAACTTAAGGGAGAAATTGCAGCCTTAAAAACATCAGTGGATGAAATCACAAATGGAAGAGGAAAGCTGACTGATAAAGACAGACAGAAACTTCTAGAGGTAAATGGTCTCATGACTTTCCATTGTAGTAAGCCTTTTTCTTTTTTTTTTTTAAATTTTGTTGGGATTTGGGTGAAAGTTTACAGAGCAAATTCA